TGTGTCTTTATTAGTTATTAGTGTTATTAGTTACTGTTATTAAGTACAGTGATCATGTGAACACACACTAACTTATCTAAAGTCTCTCCAGCTGTTAAAGCCGACTGACAGCTGATCAGCTGTGATCATCAGCACCGTCATCAGAAACAGACGTCGCTTCACATGACGCAACTGAGGAAAGGACGTCTCATGTCTCCTAAAACATATTTCCTCGTTCCTCTCTCCTCGCATGGTTTCCTCCATGCATCCCTGGTGGGAGGGACTAGGACGCAAGGAAAGGACCCAAGTGAGGGAACCGGGGATGACATTAAGAGACTTGAGAAGTACCCTTTATCCTCATTAATCAGAACTCCTTTCTTCACACTCAGAGGCCACATTGTCTCAACCCACCTGTTGGACAGCTGGTAAGGTAACATCCAATCAGCTCTCACTGTCACACCTGAGCATTTTCAACACTTTATCAACACTGAGTTCTGCTGTCCTCACAGGAGGAGTGACATCACACAGAGTCCAGACAGACCGTCCAACCAGCAGCCAGATGATCAGAAGGGGGAGGTGCCAGATGAGTCTCACCTGTTCCAGGTGAACGGGCACAATAAGACTGCAAACGACACCACAGTTAAACACTGTATTTTCATAGTTTTAAATATAACTGTTTCCTGGATTCACCTCATCACTTCCTGTAGTTCTTTGACTGGGAGACAGATGCACTTCATGCTACAGGTGTTAGCTGAGGAGAGCTAAGTCACGTAGACAACCCTCACACTGACAGGTAACTTTCACCTGTCAATCAAATCACACCAAAAACTATTCATGAAACTTTCATGAATAAACATTCAAATTGAAGACAAGCTGAATCCTGATTGGTGGATTGTTTTATTTCAGTGGAACCTCGTTGGAGGCAGAGGCCCCGCCCACTAGCCCAGGTGGAAGTCTCGCTTCTGTGCACTGATGTAGACTCACCTGTTATTGATCGCATATTGATGATCATCAGTCGACAGAACGAGAGGTCG